AAACCCCCACTCAATTTAGAAAAAAGGGAATATTTTTTATGAAAGGAGGAAAGCTCATCTAGTTGTTTTCCCTGCACAGGTTGCAGGAGGTGACCAGCTCAGGTCAGATGTTTGACGCCACGGTGTCACTGCCAGAGGAGAACAACGATTTTCAGGGACTGGAGATGATGGGTGAGTTTTCTTTGTTTGTCTGTTTTATTTGTGATTTGGTTTGTTTGTTTGGTTGTTGTTTTTTAATTGCTTCTAGTTTTTAAATTCTTTTTTTTTTGGTTACGGTTTGTTGTTTTCTTGGTCTCCTTCATAGACATGTATCAGTGGGTGATTGGCGGGTGCTCTGATGTGGTCTGCTTCTTCTGTCCTATCTAACATCTATCGTCGTTGTCTCTCCTTTTTTCTGCTTGTTGCTCTCTTGTAACGTATCTAATCTTCGGCACTTATTTGACCTTAAAGTGTTGCAAGTGCCGTAAAACACTTACTAAAACTAAAAATAAAGACTTGTAATTTTGGTTCACTATGGAGTACACCATTTGGCTCAATTTAGAGCTAAATTATGGGCACGGGTCAAACATCTGTTGTCCTTATCTCTCCTCCTTCTTGTCTGTGTTTTACTCTCTGGCAATACTTCAATAAGTCTTTGGAACTTATGCAACCGGTTTTTGTTGCATGTACCGTAAAAATCTTACTGAAAGAAAATTAATTAATCAGGTGTGGTTTACACCTATTCCTTCTGTTCGGTGTAGGTGGTTAATGAACTCTCTGGTGTCTTATAATGCTTTTGGTTCTTCGTATTGTCTCTTGATCCTAATACGGATATGGATGTTAAAGTCGGAGGTCCCGCACTTAAACAACCTTACAGTGTTGCAAGGGTCACGAAACCGATACAACTTAGCACATTCTCATTGTCTCTACCGTGCTCCCGCCATCGTCATCATCATCATCGTCGCCATTGTCGTCATCGTGATCTGCTTTTAATTTTAGTAAGAGTTTTACTGCACTTGAAACACAATTAGGTCATATTTTTGGTGCCGCTCGTGATGTCCATTATTGCTGAGGAATGTTGAAAAAAAAAAACTCTTCTGGGAATGTTTGACATTTATGATTGTAAGAAATACACATTCAGCCTTCTGCTTACATAGTTTCTTCACAAACATAACTACATTGTTATAGGAAAACATGAAGCAGCACTGTGCAGTTAGAGGTCGATATCCCGGTCATTGGGATCTTTCGTTACCTCAGAATTACAAAGTTCTGTCTGCTCAGTACCTAGTTTGGAGAAACTAGACATAAAAAATGTTGAATTCCACAATATGTCAAGCTTTTTCGAATGCATTTCATTAATTCTCTCGATAACGACGACTTCAAATAATCTTACGATTTTTATAGAGCGAATGAAACATTGGCTTTGGACCTCATGGTCTTAGTAAATCAAAACGACCAAAAATGTCAGATAAAACTTTGTTATTCTAAGGTAGCGCTTTGACAACGGCATCGTCTTCTTTGTCAGCAACAACATCAACATCTTCATCGACAACAACAAGTCAACAACAGCTACAACTACTACTACCGCTACTACTACCACTACTACCACTACTACTACTAC